GGGTCCTCCGGGCTCGGGCCGCTGCCGCGCGGCGTCGGGGGCCCCCGCCCGTCCCCGCCCGTCATCCCACCTATCCGGCAGCCTGAGACCGGAGGCTCGCGGTTCGAAGCCAGCCCGGGGCAGCGAAGTCCGAGAGACTCCCATCTCCAGTTTTAACTACCAAAAAGCTGGCGGCTCGCGACCCTCCGCATCCTGGAGCTAGTCCCCAAGATGAAACAAAAAGCTCATGGACAGTGCCCAAGGCCTGAGATCAAACCTGAAGGCTAGCAGAAAAAAAAAAAAATCCCGGGCTGGGAAGGTGGCTCAAGTGGTAGAGCACTAGCCTTGAGCTGAAGAGCTGAGGGACAGCGCCCAGGCCCAGAGTCCAGGTCCCACGACCGGACCACCTCACCCCCCCCAAAAAAAAAGAAAGAAAAACAATCCCCAGATTCTCTTACCTCAGTCACAATGACTGTCATCAAGAAAACTATTGGTGAGGATGTGGGAAGAAAAGAGCCCCTGTGTGCTGACAGTGAGACTGTAAGGTGATGCAGCCAAGAGAGGATGTAACTTTGACTTATAGTAGAGATACCAGTACACAAGTATGTGAACCATCTTAATTGCCCATTAACAGATGTATCAAGAAGATGTGGTTTGTGTACACAGTGGACTATTCTGCCATCAAGAAGAATGAAATGTCATTTGCATCCTTTTTTTCATGAAAATGGATGGATCATGTAATGCAAGAAAACTCACCTCAGCGGGGCTGGGAAGGTGGCTCTGTGGTAGAGCGCTTGCCTTGCATGCTCGAGGCCCTGGGTTCAATTCCTCAGCACCACATAAGCAAAAAGAAAAAAGCCAGAAGAGGCACTGTGGCTCAAGTGGTAGAGCGCTAGCCTTGAGCTGAAGAGCGCAGGGACAGCACCCAGGCTCAGAGTTCAGGCCCCACGACTGGACCCAAAAAAAAAAAAAAGAAAGCTTACCTCAGAAAGACCAAAAACACATGTTTTCCTTCATACTCAGAATGTAGGTCCATAAATACAAACAGGGATGCATGAGCCCAAGTGAGGTATTATTTGGGGGAGGATCAAAGCACTCATGCCTGTAATCCTAGCTACCCAGGAGGCTGAGACCAGGATCACGGTTCAAAGCCAGTCCAGGCAGGAAAGTCCATGAGACTCTCTTCTCCAATAAACTACTCAGAAAAGCAGAAGCGGTGCTGTGGCTTAAGCAATAGAGTGCTAGCTTTGAGCTGAAGAGCTGAGGGACAGTGCCCAGGTCCAGAGTTAAGCCTCATGACCAACAACAAAAAAAAAGAAACCCATTCTTTTGTATAATAAAAAGGAAAAATGAGGGGGCTGGGAAGATGGCTCAGCTGTTAAGTGCTTGCCTCCCATGCACGAGGCCCTGGGTTCAATTCCTCAACACCACATAAGCAGAAAAGACTGGAGTGGCACTGTGGCTCAAGTGATAGAGTGCTAGCTTGAGCTGAAGAACGCAGGAACAGCACCCAAGCCCACTGTTCAAGCCCCACGACTGACAAAAAATAAAGGAAAAATGCAACGTGCCATTCACTTTGGGAAGTCAAGCTGTGTCAGCTTGTAGCTCATGGGAGTAGAGGTTTTCTTTTCCTTTCTTTCTTTCTCTTTTTTGCTTGACTTTGCTCAAGATTGGTGCTTCTTCACTGGAGACTCAAGAACAAATAAAGGCTGTTACTCAAAGCTTATTCTGCCAGCAGTCAGCCACCATCCCCAGCTCTTCTTGGCAAGTAGGAAAGAGAGCAGCTTTCTGGTGGCATGCCCTTGTGACAGGTTGTTGGGTTGTTAGAGCTGGAGGTGGACGTGGAGAAGCAGGATCTTTTGGGTGACTGGTCTAGGAGCATATGAGGCCTTCTGGCTGGCCCTGAGCTGGCAGTAAAAGCAAAAGTAAGTAGATGGGGTGAGCGTGTTTCAAACACTTAATTACTTCCGGGGCTGTGGCTTGGCTTCTGCTAAAACCTCAAATTCCTATGTTGAAATTGTGACCTGGAAAGTGATCGTTTCGGGAGGGGAAGCATTTGGCAGGTGATTAGGTCGAAAGGGCTGTGCAGAATGGGATGAAAGTTCTTATAAAATAGGCCATGTGAGGATGCCAGGAGAAGGCCTTCTTTCCAAACAAGGAAGTGGGTCATCACCAGATACCAAGTATGTGGGCATTTTATGCTGGCATGAGTGACTTCACTTTGGTCTATCAGATCTAGTACAGAAACTCAGCCCAAATCAATGGCTTCTGATAAACTTTAACACTACACTTACATATTTTAAGTAAAGTTTACTTTGCTAGGCTAAGGAGGAGAAGCTAAGCACACAGCTGTGTTTGCCATATTTAAGTCTTGGAGGAGAAAAGATGGTTAGGGCTAATATTAGCTTCAGAGCCGGCCCTGTGATTAAGGTTTCTGTGGGCATAGAATGGGAACGGGAGGAGCTAGGACTCTCGGTAGCCGAAGGTTGGTAAGGGACTGGTTTTAAAGGAGGGAAAAGGCACTGCATTTGCCAACAAGTGATGAGCAGTAGAGATCGGTGCTCAGCCAGCAGAAGCCGGAGGGACGGGCCCGGGGCAAATTCTTACCTAGTCCGGGAGGCTGGAGCTCCAGACTGGCAGCATGGTCTATTTCCCAGTTCCAAGCCATAAAATTAGAGAGGATAAGAAATAGAAGCTGTGTTCCTGGCTCTCTGATAGGGAAAAATTTAAAGAGGAATGAAAGGGGGAAAATAGAAGAGAAACAATTGGAAACCAAGCCCTTCCAGAGCAGAGTGAAGAGAGGAGAGTCCCTCCGGAAGACGCCCTGCTAGTAGTGAACTGACTGCTGGAGGGCAAGAAAACTTGGAGGTTGGGGCCTGAAGCCTTCTGGGCTGGGTGGGACACATGAATTTCCTCCCTCTCACTGAATCTCCTAAGCCAGTACCCGAATGAGTGGGAATCTTAGTTTTCACTCACACCCCAGGCAGTTCCAGATCTCAGTAACACCAGTACTCCATTTCAAAGGAAAGGCGAAAGTCATATAGGCCTTGTCCAGATTTTAATAGCGCTATGCCTCATACTTGAGGATGATAATATTGGACATCATTCACTTTGTTTCTTTCCAGAATCACCACTGAATTTTGTTGCAGGGAGGTTTGGGTTTATCATTTCATCCTGCCGTCTGCAAGCTGTGTAGACTGCGATTCCCTGCCTGTTTCCTCACTAACCTGTTATTTTAGTCAGTCTCTGCCCTTTCGAATGGGCAAAGTATTCTCATAAAAGAAAGGTCCATTAAGGACACACAGAAGGTCCCAAAGGCCAGGTCTAGTTTACTGATTCCTTGATCTTGAATTTCCCAAGAACTTTGAGCAATAAATTTCTGCTGTTTATAAATTATCCAATCAAATGCTTTTTCTTATAACAACCTAAGTGGACAAAGATAAACACTTGTTTTTATTTCTCCAGTGAGTTCTGGAGAGAGATGAAAATTTCTATATAAAATGCAAGATATTGTCTATATCCTAACATCGATACCTTGACTAGTATGCTGTACCTATGACTCCCAAGTTAAGACTTAATTGAGGGCTGGGAAGGTGTTTCAGTGGTAGAGCGCTTGCCTTGCATGCATGAGGCCCTGGGTTCGATTCCTCAGCGCCACATAAGCAGAAAAAGCTGGAAGTGGCGCTGTGGCTCAATTGGTAGAGCTCTAGCCTTGAGCTGAAGAGCTGAGGGACAGCGCCCAGGCCCAGAGTTCAGGCCCCACGACCAGCAAAAAGAAAGACTTAATTGAAAGGACTTGGGTGATTCACAAAGTAAGGCACCAGTGTTTTCCTCTCTTTCAATACTAATTCCTCAGTTAAAAAGCTAACTAACATGAGATGGCCATGGGTAATTCTTGGCTACACCAGAGGCTGAGATCTTAGAATCTAAATTTGAAGTTGACTCTAATAGATAAATATGAGACTGATTTCAAAGTAAGCAGTAAAAAGCAGGACTGGAGGCATGGCCAAGTGATAGCGTCCTAGCTTTGAGCCGATGAAGCTGAGGAACAGCATGAAGGCCTGAATTCAAGACCCAGCATGGGCACAACTACCAAACAAGTTATCTAACTGTAATGGGTGAATTTCATAGTATGTGAATTATATCTCAGTGGAAAAGCAATTCAATTAACTCTGTTCTACTTAAATATTATGGATGTGAAAATGCTTTAGGGAAAAAGTCAAAAGGCACAAAGTACCCATGCAATTACAAAGACAAGTAAGTGGAACCTTTGAAGATTTAAAGGAAAGAACTAATGTTGTTGAGCTGGTCATACTGACCTACTGAGGGGTGGGGCAGATTATCTGACATCAAGAAACTTCTAATTCCTTGTAGGTACAGTTGTATATATTCCCTTTGTCAGACTTTCTATGAAGATCCAGTTTCAAGCACAAGAGGGCGCTGTCCACCAAACACCAACTTGATAGCTGCTGTAAATGCTCTAAATCTGAGGGGAAAGAGCAAAGTAATATCCAGGCAGACCT